AACTGATGGACCAAGTATAACAACAGAGCAGGGATGAGGGCAGCTTCCCAGCCCAGCTTGTAGTGTACAGCTTGTCCTCGCTGCTGGTCGAGTCAGGATGAAGGCTGCTCTCTCCTCTGTGCCCTGAAAAGATGCCTGGCTTTCCATCATGTTAATTAAGCTCGTCATTTTGCTGTTGGGCTGAACCAACCCTCAGTATCCAAGGACCAGGCAGTGATCTGGGTCTATTTGGAGCCCCGGTGCAGAGCCAGGCAGCGGGGCGGGCAGCAAGTCCGGGTCCGTATCACACGGAGCCTTTTCAGCTGTGCTGGTTTTCTGCTCTGCGCCAACTTTGCACATGGCAGCGCACAGTACAAACACAGGAACCCCTCAACATTGGTTGGACACCTTTGGGATGAAGCCTCAAGTTAGCATCACAACAAGAGGTACTCTCTGCTGCATCATTCCCCACCTCCCAGCCCCAGTTTTCTACTGGTAATCCAGACACTGGATAACTTGACAACTGGTACACAGGTACTAGTTTTAAAACCACAGATGTGTGTATTAGATATCATATAAAATATGGTACATCTCTCACGTGGGAATGATTTCTATAGACAGTGTATTTCAGCACAAGGAAGATGCAGGTTCCAAGGGGTCCTGGAGAACGCGGCTGTGTTCTCCATCACGTAGGATACTTACACAGGATGTTCGTGAGGAGACAGCGCTGCTCTCTGCCATCCACACCCCCACGCCCCTCGGCTGAGCTCTGCAGAGATCACAGGAAGCACCACCGCTGCCCAAGCAGCCCCTTGCACAAAGCTACCTCTTTGGTTTTCTTTGAGCTGATTTGAGCCAGAGCCTGACACCAGCAGTGCCAAAATCTCATCCTCATCCGAGCTGGGCTCTGAAGGCTGAGAAGCAGCAATGGGTGATGTCTGTGGGCCATCGTGGGCAACTCGCCCTGCTCCCCCTGAGCTTTCTCCAGGTCTGAGGTGAGTGCAAAGGGCCATACCCTGAGACTCCTACTCTCACCAGCTCCACCCACACAAAAAGGCACTTAAAGAAAAGAAGAAAAAAAACCAAAAAAACCCCCAACCCTGCAGTGCGGGAAAGGGGAGTAAGTCCAGGAGGAGAGAGGAGGAACAGAACAGTGAGCAAAATGTGAATGAGTGGCTGACCTCTCTTCCAACAGGGAACTGCAAGCCTTGAGCAGCCAGCTCCACCTCCAGCTGCCCCGCACAGGTCTCAGCATCATCCCATCCTGCTCAGTCCAGAGCAGAAGTGTGCATGGGGACAAAAAGAGCATGAGGGGGAACTACACTCGACTACAGGTTTGGAGCAGAAAAGGAGAGAGGTGGAAGGACCTGCCCCGTGGAGCTCACTCTGCTGGTGCAACTGAATGGGAGAAGCACCTTGTCCTGCCACGCCAGCCTCGGGGCCCCTGCTCCCAGGCCAGCCCAGACACCCTGCCAGCACCCCTCGTCCCTCTGCGGGATACCCCATCCTGAGCTCCTCCAGGGCAGCAGCCTTCAGCAGCACAGGGGTTTCAAGGAGTGGACAAGCTTGGAATAAAACAACAAGCACTTTGTAAACTCTGGAGGGTCTGACCTTGGGGTCTACAGAGAGGCCGAGGTTGGTTTGCCTAGCCCACCCTGAGCCCCTCTCCACTCAGAACTAGTGTGCTTCGTATGATCTCCACGTCACCAGAGTCAGTCTTGTTTGGAGAAAGATTCTCATTGGAAAGCAAGAACATTCCTTCACTCTTTACAAAGATTTGGCAATACACAGAATTTAAAAAAAAATAAAATCATAGTTACAACAGATTCAGGTTCATTTCATTTAAAGGAAATTCAACCAACAGGAGTGTAAAAGTTATAATTCACAGTTGTGCATTTAAGATATTAGTGTTGAAAACCTCACTTCAAAGAACTCTTGTGCAAAATTGTATTGACAGTAGAAACCATGGCTAGATGCCCTCCCAGCTTCCCCCAGCCAACAGGCCATCGTCCACCCCTCTGCCTGCACCCAGAGGCAGACGGACGAGGGGAACAAAGGCGGCAGTAGGAGTTGACATAGGAAGATGCAGTATCCTTTCTACGAGTCAAAGCCTTGCCGAGGTCTGAGGTCAAGTCCAATGATTCCCAAAGCCACCAGCTGGTGCCCTGTGCCACGGCAATGACCAGCAGCCTGCCACGCATCCTTATGGCACTGCGACATGGCATCTGGCATCTGAGCCCATCTGAATGCAGGCGGGCAGCCAGCGAGGCAGAGAAAGCAGACCTGCTCTGGCAGGACACCCCCTGCAAGGGCACAGACTCAGATGCCACAGCATCTCCACTGCAGTCGGGAGAGCCAAGCCCCGGCACCAGCAAACGCCGTCCGGGGGCTCAGAAGTGATCCTGAACTGGCTGCCGGGCTCCGCTGCTTGTGATGGTTCCCACCACGAGGGCTGGGAACCCCTTGCATTTGTTAAACAGTGAAACTGTAAATACCCTGAGAACAGGGAGACTGGATTTTTTCCCCTCCAGGGAGAGGATCATGCTTTGCTCTTCAAGCTAATTAGTAGTAGCAGCTCCTAACCCCTCTGGGTCAGGTACATATTTTCCATATGAAACACATCTATAATCAACTATTTTTATGGAAATTATTTCACTTTCCATTATTGGATCTGTACAAATGATGAAAAACAGTCATGCAAAAAATCGCCTGCAAATTTTGGAACAGTGCAGCATGGGCAGAAGCAGGAGGTATTTGCTTTGGGATCACATGGCTTTGGTTGGAAAAATTGGTGCTTTTTTTTTTGCCCCCCCCCCCTTTTTTTTTTTTTTGTGAGAGAGAGAAACAAA